CTGAGTGTTGCCCGCTCTGCCGTGCCACCGCGGAGGAGGAGGGGTGGGGTGGAGTAGTGACGTACACGGCCAGGGGGCGGGGCCGTGTACGTCACCGCCCCTCTTCCCCTCCCACTGTGGCATGCAGCTGAGTGCTGTGCCCCTCAGCCGGGCAGCCGGGAGAGCCAGCAGCTCAAGGGGCCATTTGGGCTCCCCTGCGGTGGGAGGGGAAGGAAGGGCGGTGATGTACATGGCCCCGCCGCCTGGCCATGTACGTCAGCACCTCACCCCCTTCCCTCGCGGCAGCCCGGCTGAGCAGGCAGAACTCAGCCAAGCGCCATGGCAGGAGGGAAGGGAAAGGGGACGGGGAAAGACAGAGGGGAGAGCGAGGCAGGAGGTGGAGGAGAAGAGAAAGGGAGAGTGAGAGGCAGGAGGGGGGGAAGAGAAAGAAAGAGACGGAGAGAGAGGCAGGAGGCGAAGGAGAGCTGAGAGAGAGATGGGGAGGCAGTAGAAGGAGGAGAGAGAGACACCGACCGGAGGCTCAGGAGAGAAGACCAACGTGGAGGAGAGCCCTGAAAATCCCTTCTTATGACAGGCTAATTGGCTAGTTTCAAAATAATAACTCCTGCTTTCCTCAGGGAATAATGGTTATTTCAAAATAGTTATTGCAAAATAACGATCATCTGGATGCTCCCCGGCTGCTATTTTGAAATAACGACTCCCCATTGTCATTCAAACGAATTACTCCCCAGTGCTTTCAGGAGCTGTAAATGGAGGTAGCACATCTATATTAATGGAGCCTGCCTTGGACCCAGGGTACCTAGCGTTGGCCGCTGTGGGCAGACAGGCTACCGGGCTAGATGGACCTTTGGTCTGACCCAGTACGGCCATTCTTATGTTTTTATGTTCTAAGCTCAGGGCTCAGGGTCGGGGTCTCACTCGACCACCCTGATTTTCATGCACACCTGCTCCTGGGTGGCCAGGCTGGCAGCTCTCCTGCCCTAGACAGCCACTTTCCTGTGCCTAGT